CTGTAAAGGCTTTAGGTAGTCTTTTGCGTTTAAAAAGAATTTGAAGAATGGGAAAATGTCTTAGAGAGTGAAATCTGGAATTAGAAGAGGTAGAACAAGAGGTTTTTCAACCTCTACTATTAAGTACTATGACTTACCCCCTACTTTGAAAAAATGTTTCGCATATTGTGCTATGTTCCAAAGGATTATGAGATAGAGAAAGAACAATTGATTAATTATGATGAACAAGGTTTTAAGTCAAAAACTCAAAAAAGGATATGGAGTTAGTTGGTGAAGAGTATTTCAAATCTTGGCAATGCGTTCTTTCTTTCAAGATTTTGAAAAAAGGAACATGAATTGATATACTTCTTGTAAATGCATATATATGCATGATTTTGCTCAATTTCTTACCCAAAATGAATGTTATACAATAGAGGTTGTATGTAAGAAGAAATTGAATTAGAATCTTCTTATGATAAGTTAGACATTCAATGATAAAGATTCAAGGGGGGCTCATTCCTAGCTCTATTTATACTAGAAAACTTTTCTACGTATTCTTGTGGTTGATTGTAATTAGGTACGACCCCAATTAGGTTGGTCCAAATTAGTGATCAATTTACATGTCTAAGGTCATTATCTTTGATAGTGCTCAATTGAGAATTCCTGTAGAAATAAAAAAATTAATACACTTGAGATACTTGATTTCTTTGAATAGAAACATAAAAGAATTCCTGAGACATTATGGTGTTATATATTTACAACCTTAGACAATGGATGTGAAAATATCAAAAACTGCCTCAAGGGATTGGAAACTTAATCAACTTAGACATTTGTTAAATAGGGGGACTGTAGTATAAGTTACATGCCAAAAAGTTTGGAGGATTAACTGTCTTCGAACATTAGAAATATTTGTTATAAGTGAGGGCAGTTATGGTGGTGAAGAATGTTATGTAATGTCTAAAAACTTCAAACATCTTCGAAATTTGGAATAAAAGGGTTGGAAATTTGAGAGTGGAGGAGGTTAAGGAATAGAATTAAACAATAAGAAAAACTTGCGTTTTCGAGGGTAACTTTACAGGAGTGAATGACGAGCAATCAACAACTTCTTGATGAGTTCAACCCCATCCAAATTTAGAGACATTAGCGCTAGTAAATTATAGTGGCAAACATTTTCCCTATTGGATGATGTCATTGACCAAATTGAGAGGTTATATCTTGGGATTGTGTAAACTGTAGCATTGCCTCCTTTGGGTAAGTTATCATCTCTTGAAATTCTTTGTATAGAATGAGAGCGTGAAAAGAGTGGGTAATGAGTTTTTGGGAATAGATAGATGCCATGTCATCATCTCATCAATTATTGCGTTTCCAAAACTGAATTTCTAATTTTCTGGTACATGAAATGGATGAGTGGAATTACGGGAGTACAAAGAGCGACGAAGATATTCCATCATGCCATCTCTTAAGACCTTGCAACTTTATTCTGCCACAAATTGAAGTCTCTACCAAACCACTTAATCAGTGACAATGTTGAAGAAGGAAATAGGTATTGTCCTCTTCTCTCAAAGAACAGAGAACCAATAGCTAATCGTCACTTCCTTTGATTAAGTTCTTTGAAATTATCACTTCAACACTGATTTTCCTTCAAACACGGTAATTTCCTCTCTTTTCCCTTTTATAATTTGTTTTGAATTAGAAATTAGTGGTTTTATGTTCCCGAAAACTTGAGTGAATTGATAACTCATCATCATCTCCTCCAGTTTTAACCAACATCTCTCAAGTTTAACTTCAACTTTGATTCTGCAAAGGGACATCCTTTGAATTATCAATAGGCTACAATCGTGATCAATCCACAGGCATTCCTCTCCTACAGGTAAACCTTCAGTTTTGACTAACATCTCTCAAGTCTTAGCTTCAATTTTCTGAAGTATCGGTCCATTAGGCTCCTCAATTTATTGATTATTATCAAACCAAGTTTTGCTCTCACCAAGTGAAAGATTCCTTTGGTCTTTCTCTGACTATAAAATTGACCAGTTTTTAACATCCCCTGCACTTATTATGGAAATTTTAACTTCATATCTGGTCTAACATCCTATTTTCAAGAAATTTTGATCATTATTACTTCATTTTCATTAATGTGAATTTGTGTTGTTCTTTTAAGGCACACATGCTAAAGTTTTTTTTTTTTTTTTTTCAAGCTGCAGCAACCAGGAAATCCTGCACTGGAGACATTTGTGAAAGAAGTGCTGAATATCGGCCCCATTGCAGTTTTAGTAATTGTTATGTTTTGTTTGTTGGATCTGAATTGGACTAGGTAACAAGGCGATAGGAATTCTTATATAATCTTCAATCTGGACCATTTTATCATCTCTTTTTTGTCTATATCAGCATCACTTTCTACCAAAAATCAAACCATTTCTCTATAGCACATCCTAGTTTCTTTTCATCTGTCAGTGCGGCAATTTTCTCTTCAACTTCTTGTTGTGAATGCAAACTAAACAGTTTTTGCATTTATTATAAGCATTTTTATAGTATTCTAATTACCATCAGTACATGGCCTTTTTAGCTTGATTATGGATGTCAGCTCATGGTTTTTGATGCGGGAACCTAAGCTACAGCAGGAATGGTGCCATTCATGTTCAACCAAAAATGCTTTCTCCAAGCGTTAACATGCACAAACTATACATGAGTTCAGAAATTGCTGTTAGAGATTTGGAATCTTTAAAAACATGCTATGACTAGCAGCACTAGATGAAATTTAATTCCAAGCAGCATTCTTCTTTCATTAAATAAATATTCGTTTGCTCAAAAACTTTTCCAAATCTTTTTCCATACAACTACCTTGAAAGAAAAGTTCATTATTATTAACAGCTATGACGTTTCTTTTTTCATGGTGTTTTTCATTATTATCCTTTGGGAATTATCTCATGATACGTTATGTTTTCAGACTCTGCAAGCAGATGTGACAAAGCTCCATTAACTCTCGATGCATGGTTTTCTTTAGTGACTCTTTATTATGTTGATGTGTAAGAATTGGGCTAATGGTATTTTATATACCCACATTTAAATTTTTGTACTTCACTTATTGCTGACGCTCTGCAGATTAATAGATATAACTCCTCCTTTCCCAGTAATTAGAATTCTTTTATGCTAATGATGGTTTGTTCCAAATATCTTTTGGTTATTAAGTTATTGATGACTTTTTTCCTATAATTGAAATCTTTTTGACATCTCACACTTGATGCAGTAGCAAGTTCAACATGTAATGATTTTCTTCAAAAGTCAATGTCAAGCAATGGTGTACCACACAAACTTGGTAGAATTAGCTCATGTTTCCTTTCGTCTACACAACAGCGTCTGCCCAACAGGTACTTTCTTCGTCGTTTGTTTCTGGTGACAGGATGCTCTTGAAAATTAACTATTCAGTTTGACCACATTGATGTTGTATGTCATCAAGAAGTTTATGTATAGTGAAGATAAGATAACAATTACATTTTAAGAGAAAACAAGGCACTTAGCATTAGTTTGTGGTGATTAATATTTGCTGAGAGGGATCATTACTCACAGATATTGCTTAAATTGCGTCATGAAACTGAGAAGTGGTTGAATAGAGTTTTGGCTGATTAAAGGACCTGTCAATGACTTCCTGACTGTGTTTGTATTTTCACCTTTCAATGGTTGCTCATAGTCAAAGACAGTCAATTCTGCTTTGACATACCTATGGAATATCTGTGCTTGAGATATTCATACTCGGGTTTCTTGTTATTTATGTGAATTGCGGTCATGGTGTTACAGTCTAGCAGACCATGGAGTCCAAAAGCATGAATGAGATGGTGATGATGCAAGCTGGTAATAGAGTTAAAGCAGTTAGTTTATTTGTAATTCTCTAGTAGATAAATTTTTGAATGAAATATCATATTGCTCATTGGAAATAGAAACATATTTAAAATTTTTGGATTATATCATCTTCTTTCTAGTTTTTGACTGATTATACATATTGGGCCTTTTGTGGATGGAACCAAGGTTTATCATAAACATCTCAGCCTAGAATTTCAATGTTGTATGAAAACCTATGAATGATTATTTGGCAGAATCCTTTTGCATGTACTTCGTTTTCAATGTTGTACTACGTATTGATGAATAATGATCTTGAATCTTCTTTTTATGAGAATTACTGTTTATGTGACATAACTTGCTCCATAAGTTTTATTAGTTAAGTCATATTCTTCGGTTTCTTGTAAAAAATGAAGCTTTTAAGTCCTTTGTTTGAAAGTAGAAATCCATTTCATGTCTGCATTTCTGTAGACATATTTAGATCATGTTTCCAAAGTAGCAAAAACTGGTGTTGCTTAAAATACAAGATATTATATTCTTCTGTCATGATATTGTTAATCTCCTTCTAAGTTATGTCTGAACACAAGGTACTCTCTAAGGAACATATACCATTGGCAACAGATGTGACAGTCTCCATTTCTTCATTTCTGAAGCAACATTTGTACATAACACGAACATGCGCTCAGTCAATTGAATGCTTATTTTTCGGTAAGTTATTTTAGCAATGCGAACCCCTTTTTTTATCAAATCTTCATCACTCTGTTTTCTGGGACTTCTCAAACAGCATCTACTGCATAGATAGGTACCTGTCTGCAATGATATAAATCCAGTGGTGGTAAAGCTTGTAGATGGAGAGTCAAACGGGATGAAAGTTACGATTTATAGCTGGATTGGGCAGAATGTATCCTATCTCAAACTCAGCTAGCTGCTTGACATAAGCTTTCCGTATCTTCCTTTGTCGTCTCTATGGCATTCAGTGATTGAAATGTGCGTATCATATTTTATACATCCTTTAAGCTGTTTAAAGCAATTAGTTTCCCTAATTTACATGAATGAAAACTTTAAACATATTGGGTTGGGCTTTACTCGTTCCCTCCCATATGTAGGTGTGAAGCCCAGCTGTTAAACCCAAAATGTTTTGCAAATTAAAACCCAAACTTATCTTCATCTTCTTTTTCACATGATGGCAGCCAAAACGAGAGAGAGGGAGTGTGTGTTCTGCTCCAGCTGCTGTCCCTTCTACTCCAGCCACCATTCAGATTCTTTCCACCATTATATGTTTGAGAGAAGGCAAAACGAGAGAAACAGAGAGGAATCTGAGTTTTTGAGTCTGTAAACAGTGCATCATCGAATCATGATCTGGAGCTCGTTTGCTGTCCATTGTTCTGGTTTTGGATATGTTGTTCATGAGACACAACTCTGCATTCTGATGGTGAGATTGAAACCACAGCACGTAAGGCTTTAATTGTGGGTAAACTCGAAACTGCAGTTTTTGTGTCTTTGGATTATTCTCTCCATAAATTGTGATATTTTCTTCTGTTTTTGCTGAGATTGTTGGTGTTGGATTGTGAAGTTTATGATGTTTGTATGCCTCTAGTTTGCACTAGAAGACTTTGTATTTCCATTTTTGATAATGTGAAAGACTTTAATGGATACGGTCCCGTGGTTTTTACTCCTACACATCGGCGAGGTTTTCCACGTAAAAATTTGGGTGTCATTGATCTTAATTTTCGGCATATATTTGTAGCTTTTGATTATTTCACTCATGAAAGAAAAGAAATTGTTGAAAGCTAGGTTCCTCTTTAGTTACGCAACAGTGAACTGGACGTTGAATTGAAATTCTTGCTTCTTTGGGTTGATTAACACATTCGACAAAGAAATATTGATAGGACCAATGAAGTAATCTCATTGGAATTTTAGATTGAATTGAAGTTGAAACTTTCCATTGTTTTGATACTAGCTATAAAGTCTTTTACAAATGGTTTTTTCTTTCTCCTCAATTTTTAGAAATTCCTTCATTCATTATGATTCCATTTACTTCTTCTTATGAAGCAAGAAGAAAGGAGCTAAAAAAAAAAAAAAAAAATCATTAGATCTTCTGTATCAAGAAAATTAATGCTCTCATCCCAGCCAAATATTAATAATGCCATATTTGAATGATGAGTTTGATCAAATATTTTAATTTGATTGAATGATCACATCCGCAACCATCTTCATAACATTCTCCCCTGTTTATGACTCTCCCTGTCTCCCAGCAAGAGCTTTTTAATACATCTCACTTTGTTTTTAACTTCAGCAAGACCATTTTTATAACAGTCTCCACTTTGTTTTTGACTCTCCTGGAAATGCGATATTTTATGTTAGTGAGTTAGATTTTTTATTTTTCATATTGATTTTGGCAGCTGCTTGGTATTTGTTAGGAGCACACCACGCATCTCCATTTCTCACTCTGTTGATCAAGAGTCCAGCATTCAAATATGGCAAAAATACTTGTTTTCGTAGTCTTGGATCAACTGGCTTTAATCATTCGTCAACAAGGCAGAAGAAGGGGTGAGGCTTCTTCACTTAACGGGCTTTAATCAATTTCTCAATCTCTGTTTGATCAATAGTCAACAATAATATTAACGGGCTTTACTCAATGGCAAAACAAAACCTTCGTTCTCTTCACTAATATTATTGTGAAGACTTTTTTTTTTTAGTTCAATAAAAATCAAATCTGTTTATCAAAGTTGCTTCTCTGATTGCTCAAACAAACCTGCACCATACCAGCAACTTTTCTATCGATAGAAAAGTTGCTGGTATGGTGCAAGTTCACTGTACAGTGTGCCGTAAAAACCAGCAAAGTAATGATGCAGGTTCGCCCTACCACCTTCGACTCATTTATCAGTATTTAAGATAATTCTATTGAATTGGATTCATTATCAACTCTATTTTCTTTAGCTTAATCTACATACTTTTTCAAGAATTACTTCCATAACAAGTCATGGTAAAGTCAAAAAGTGTAAAGGGAAGAAAGAAGTAAAACTTATTCTTTGAGTAAAGATCTTCTCCCAGCATAAATCAATCAAAGTATTGCCTTTAATTGGCCTTCTACACTTTGCATGGATTCTTTTTTGCCTTCATAATTGACACACACACACACACACACACATATATATATATATATATATATATATATATATGCTGTCTGCAAGAATAGCTTTTTAAAAGTTTAATCCTTGAAAATAACAATATAAAATTATAAAGTTTTAAAATGCATAAAGGAACCATCTCAGTTAGCCCCAAAGTTTATGTATAAAATCTACTAACATTTTCTATTCAGGTGATGTGAAACATGGCTCCGTGGACTTGAACTGTGAACTGCCTCTGTCATTGTCAATGCTCGTCCAACTCGGTCTTTTTAAACAAACTAGCTGTCATTGAGTGAACAGATCAGGAATTTTAAGTCACTGAGCTTATGCATACATTGAATAATCTAAAGCCTTATGCTGGCCCAATAGTTTGTATTTGGGCCTAATCCATAACTCTAAAGCCCATCTGAACATACTAAGGTCCTCTAATATGAAATTATGTTAATGTATATGATAGATTTCTTGATTATTTCTCTATTACATAAATGAATTATTCATCATCTAGCAATGGTGAAACTTGATAGAGGCCGTGTTAATACTTATATGATTATAATATAATCACTAAATTTTAAACCAGAATTATATGTTTTACTAATATCTTGGTAATAAATTTTAACTGTTTTAACCATAAGGAGAATCTATAAGCAATATTTTAAGTCAAAAAAAAAAAAAAATTATTATTATTATTCAACTAATTTTCAAGCTTTATAGATTGTAATGCAATAATTTAAGTCCAAAAGTTATTATTAAACTAATTTGCAAACTTTATAGATTATAGTGCAATATTCTGTTTGAAACAACCTTGTTTTCAGACAGTAGTTCTTCAAGGTTACGTATTTGCAGTCTCAGAATAGAGAAAGACATGAGATTTTGGCAAAGCTTTCTCCGAGTTATTGTAAAACTAAAAGTGTAAAGGAGTCTGTGTGTTTATTTTATAATTTTTAGTAGTATTTTTGAAAAAGTTAAGTTAGATTCGAGGATAATATTTGAATTTGAAAATGTATTTGGTAAAATTATTTTTTAATTCCCTACATTTGTTAATTTAGTTAAACACCATTTACAATAAAAGTTTTAAAATTAACAAAAACACCTTCATTATCAAATTTATGAAAATAAAAAAAACAAATGTATATAAATTATAAATAACTAATTGTTTAATGTAATATATAAAAATAAATAAAAGAAGACCAAAAATACAAAATTTATGAGGGTATTGTTAAAATTGGAATTATATAAATTTAATAGGGATACTATTGACAACAAAATAATATTATTGATTAAGATGATTTTGTATGTAGATAAAAGCCAAATATTTAAGTTTTTTTAACTTATATCTAATAAGTTAAATTGAAGTATCTGTCAAACCAACTTCGTCAGATGACAACGTTGTAGAACCTGTACTTCACGCGGTGCGTCATCTTCACCAAATAATGGTGAAGTTGTCTCATATGATGATCTTCAACATTGGGAAAAATGCTCTATTATGTGGTGACTTTTTTATCATCAAATTATTTTATAATTAACAAGAAATTAATTAAAAATTTATAAAGACTTTAGCGAATATATCCATACAGAACTGGGCTCTTGTAAAGATTTAATGGGGTTTTCCAAGCCTGGCCCGTTATCAGACTCTCGCAACTGAAAACCCCCCTCTGGTCTGTTTCTCAATTCTTGTTTCGCTTCAACTTGAATTTTTTTTTTTTTTAATTTTAATAAATCGTATATCGGAGTATGTTTGTATTTCTCCAAATACTAGAAATAAATTCAGCACTTGTTTCGAAATATATAATTATAGATCTCGCTTTTACTTGTAAATTCATGAAATTCATTTTTGTAGTACTGTATAATGGATTTTTCAGCTACATCAAGATTCTGGTACAGTGGTACTTGTAAATTATATTGTTTATGGTTCTTTGTGGAAATATTGTTATGTTTTTCAGCACAATTTATTAATTACTTTCTAGATTTTGCAAATGCAACTCAATCTCAACCAGCATCTTCGTCTGTTGATGCTTTTTTCACTTCATTCTCAAGTTAAAAGTATTCTCAATCCGCAAATGCAAATGCTTTTTCATTGAAATAATAATGTGTTTTGCTGTTTAAAACCAATTTTTTGTTTTTCAATAGTCTTGTGCTTCAACGTGTAACTCTGCATCTTGGTCAAAATAAGAAACCACCGTTTGCTGTTTTTGCTGAGATTGTTGGTGTTGGATTTGTGAAGTTTATGATGTTTGTATGCCTCTAGTTTGCGCTAGAGAAGACTTTGTATTCCCATTTTTGGTGATAGTGAAAGAATTTATTCGGACTACGGTCCCGTGGTTTTACTCCATACATTGGGGAGGTTTTCCACATAAAAATTTGGGTGTCATTGATCTTTAATTTTCTGTATATATTTGTAGCTTTCGATTATATGCACTCGAGAAAGAAAAGGAATTGTTGGAAGCTGGGTTCTTTTTTATTCATGCAACAGTGAATTGGATGTTGAATTGAAATTTCTTGCTTCTTTTAGGTTGATTAACACATTGGACAAAGAAAGATTGAGAGACACCGTTGAATTACTTTCATTGGAATTTTTAAGTTGAATTGAAGTTGAAACTGTCCATTGTTTTGATACTAGCTATAAAGCTCTTACAAATGGGTTTTTTTCATGGATTTTTCTCCTCAATTTTTAGAAATTCCTTCATTCATTATTATTCCACTTACTCCTCATGAAACAGGGAAGAAACAGAGGAGTTAATAAAATGAAAAATCAGATATGATCTAAAGGTTACAACGAACAGATAAGATTGACTAAAGCAATGTCATAGAAATTAAATAAATTAACATGCATAAAAGGATGCAAGAAGAGGATAAAGAGAATTTCTTTTGCTTGGAGAAACATTTGGTATGGATAAGACTGAGTAAAGCAGTACGGATAAGAGGAGAAACTAACAAGCTGAAGAAGTTTAAGAAGGTTTATTTAGTGCACAAAAGAACCATCTCAGTTATCGCCAAAATTTATGTATATAATCTATTAACAGTTTCTATTCAGGTGATGTGAAACATGGTTATGTGGACTTGAACTGTGCATTGTCTCTTTCATTGTCAATGCTCATCCAACTTGAGCTCTTTAAACAAACTAGTTACCATTGAGTAACAGTCCAGAAATTTTGAGTCACTGAACGTATGCATAAATTGAATAATTTAAAGCCTTGTACTGGCCCAATAGTTTGTGTTTCGGCCTAATCTATAACTCTAAAACCCATCTGAACATACTAAGGTCCTCTAATATGAAATTATGTTAATATATATGATAGATGTCTTGATTATTCATCATCTAGCAAGAGTGAAACTTGGTAGAGGCCGTGTTAATGCTTATATGATTATAAAATAATCACTAAATTTTAAACCAGAACTATGTTTTACTAATATCTTGGCAACAAATTTTAACTGTTTTAGAATTTGTAAGCAATATTTTAAGTAAAAAAAAAAAAACATATATATATTATTATTCAACTAATTTTCAACCTTTATAGTTTGTAATGTAATATTTTAAATCCAAATGTTATTATTTAATTAATTTGCAAGCTTAATTGATTGTAGTGCAATATTCTGATTGAAAGAACCTTGTTTCATATAGTAATTCTTCAATACCATGTATTTTCAGTCTCAGAATAGAGAAAAACATGAGATTTTGCAAAAATTTTGCTTTTTAAGATTCATATAATTTGCCATTCTCAAAATTTTACACAAAAGTTACTACCATCTCTAAGTTCTTGTAAAGCTAAAAGTGTAAAGGAAACTTAATTATTCTTTCAGTAAAGATCATCTTCTCCCAACAAAAATCATTCAAATTCTTTCCTTTAAATAAACTTCTACAATTCGCATCACATTCCTTCTTCTTCAAGAGTAGCTTTTTGAAAGTTAATTCTCAAAATGAATTGGATTATTTTAACTATTCTTATGTCATTACAAATACTTGTCGACTGAAGAGATTTCGTATTTTACAATAAAAATATCTCAAAGAAAAGAACAAAGGAATTGCTTGTACAACACTTAATACTTCAACTAGTATCAAGCAAAACTTTGGTTTGGATTTATTCCTTGGTCTTTCCATTTGGGCAATCAAATCTTAATTGTTTAAAGATGAAAAGAAGTTTAAGAAGGAAATACTTGAGTCAACCAACTCTTGGTAGAGGTTTTTTTTTTTTTTTTTTTTTTGGTCTAAAAGCTTCATGTATCTTTTAGCTTATATGTTTAATATACAGTGTGACGATATATCTGTCTTTTATTTTTAAATGTTTGATACAAATATTGAGTTGTTTGCCTTTACATAGTAAATATATAATATGGTGTTTTAACTATTGGTCCTTATTAAATATAATGTAATTTTATATTTTAAATTATCAAATTTATTAAGCAAAAAAACAAATGTATATAAATTATAAATAACTAATTGTTTAATGTAATATATAAAAAATAAATAAAAGAAGACCAAAAATACAAATTTTATAAGGGTATTGTTAAAATTATATAAATTTAATAGGGATACTGTTGACAAAGGAATAGTATTATTGATATTAAGATGTTTTTGTATTTAGATAAAAGCCAAATACTTTAGTCCTTTTACTTATATTTGGTAAACAGACGTAAGTTATAAAACCAATTGAATATCAACGACTGTCAAATAATTAAAAATTATTTAAATAACAAGTATTTGAATCATAATAATTTCATATATCTTTTAAGACTTTGTCGTTCGAAATTCTGGTAATACGTATATACATCTATATACAAGTTTATATGACAAAAACTCATACTATTTTATAATACTCTTAAGATAACTAATTTCACCTTAAGTCTAGAATCTTTAATATTTTCAGAAAAAAAAAAAAATTAAAAACTACATCTTCAACTTTATTTATATCTATCAATCAATAAAAAAAGTTAAAAAAAAAAAAATTCCCTTCTTCATGAATTAATACAAATTAATCAAAGTATTCCAATCACTAAAAATTCCCTTTAAGGATATAATCTTTTGCATTTGTTTACGGTCTTTATTTCGAAATTCAAGCAATATTTGGTTATTTAAAACATTAAAGTCTACTATCTATTCAAAAAATAAAAATAAAAAAAGAAAAGATGATGGGCCTGGGCACTTTAAATACTTAGAAGCGAACTTTCTAAAGTCGAAGGCCCATTTTGCTCCAAATTAATGCTTGTTATCTTCCAAACAATATCAATGGGCCCTTTAGAGTTCAAACCTTTCGCATTCTCAGATGTCAAACATTGGAGAAGAGAACTCCTCCACAAGATTTTAACCAAGATTCTCTCACGCTCTTCCTCAACAATGATTCCGCATATGTGCAAAGAGACGACCTTCGAATTGTCAAGCAGCTACAATCGCCATCAATTCCTAGTGATTTTCTCTCTTCTCCTTTTCAGACAGGTAGTTTCTTGGTTTCATTCATCTAACAGTTGAGAAATTTTTCTCTTCAACTTCTAGTATTCGTCGCTATGCTAGTTCGTAAATGCAAACTCAACAGTTTCTTTAAGCAATTCTCATTAACCTTCGTAAATCTCATTAATTTATATAATTTTTTTTTATGGATAAAGTGGGGAAGTGAGACCACATTGCTTATATATAATATGTAGATGATGATATTATTGACTTATTTTAATCATAAAATTCAATAATCTAAAGCCTTATAATGGCCCAATTCCTTGTTACATGAAAGAGAAGTTGCTAATTCATTAAGCATTTTCAATTGATTCCATGAATTTACTTGTGGGAATTTTGTTGAATTTGAGGTTGGTTCTAGAATTGAAGTTAAGTTAGATTGTATTTGAGAATATTTGTAAAACTGATAAGAATTTTTCTGTGATTATTTTGTATTATTGTTCTGAATTTGATAAAAACATTTTGTAGAAGTCCTTCTACTTCATGAAAATAAAACTTAAATCCTTAGAGACTATATTTGTATTTAAAAAATAATATTGCACCTTTCAAATAATATCCATATATTCTCATCTCGTATGATGTGTTTTCATATGTAGTTTTGCGGTGACACAGAGCTCAGGCGTTGAAGAAAATATTGCGCATCAAGTTCTCTCAACGACACCCAAAAGCCTCTGGTCTGTTTCTCTATTCTTGTTTCGCTTCAACTTGATTTTTTTTATAATTTTTAATAAAATTGTGTATTGGCGTATGTTTACAGTTCTCCAAATCCTAGAAATAAATTCATTACTTGATTCGAAATATATAATTATAGGTCTCGCTTACTAGCGTAAGAGGATGTATGTACTTGTAAATTCATGAAATCAAATTTTGTAATATAATGGATTATTTAGCTACATCATGATTCTGGTACTTGTAAATTATATTGTTTATGGGTTTTTGTGGAAATATTGTAATGTTTTTAAGCACAATTTATTTATTACTTTCCAGATTTTGCAAATGCAACTCAGTCTCAATTAGCATCTTCATCTGTGCCATATTAGGGATCAAGAGATCTCATCAGTGCCCCTTTGAAAGGGTTGCATTCTAATGGTTAGTCGTTGGTAAATTTGGATATAATACATAATTATTATGGATAATATTTAAGGCTGTTAGGAACCTATATGGAATCCATTAATGTTGGTCTTATAGATGCGTGGATTTATGTCTTCTTTCAAAAGCAAGTCTGTCTTTTCATTGTTTTGGAGAGCATTTGTATTTGAACTGAAACCTATGAGGGAGATAGCATGTTTTATGTTACTTGCTACTTACATATTTCCCTTGTTTTGGGTAAATTTTGACCTTCGCTCATAACTTCAAGTGTTTCTCAAACTTTGCAGCTATATGCTCGCAGGCACTTTTTGTTTCCTCCTTGAGTATTGAAGAATATAATGTTCGTGTAATGGCAGTAGTACACTGCGAAGCACAAGTATGATTTTAATTTTATGTTTTATCTTTGAGTTGCATGAGTGATGTTGTGGCTTTATAAGTTATGCTTCCTGTTGTTATATTTTTGTGATTCTGCTTTTCATTGGTCTAGTTGTATATTCTTCTGTACCGATCTGTTCGTCCCTAGAGTTTCAATGTTTATTATCAAATTGAGTTAGTATGTAGCTTCATAGCAATTCTTATAATAGTTTCTTCACTGTTATTTGTTGTCTGGATTACACAAAATTGTGAAAAGAAAACATGACTAAAGAAAATTTGTTAAATGAGAAAAATTTGTTAAATGAGAGAAATCTGCTAAAAACTCTCAATTTGAGTCCACTTATTTATTTATTTTTTTTTCATGTATTGTTACTTTCTGCTGCCATTGCATCTCTTTTAATGCGAGAAAATTATCTTTCAGAACTCTGTTTAAATTGCTACTGAAATTACACTGATATTTATTTGTTCAAAGTTGGCATTTGACTCATGGTAGCTGGTATTCTTTACAGTAGGGATGTTCTTCGCTGGGGAAAGAATATCATCTCTGCTAAAACATGGACAAAAAAACGAGCTGGTACAGCAGTTTACAATAGAGCATCTTTGCTAGAAACACTAGTCAGTACCCTCGTACCTTGTTTTTTTCTTGCAATAGTATTTGTTACTTTAAGAATGCACCAGTTTCCACTCTGGGTTCCTGTCAATTGTATGCCTTAACTGTTTCTTGTACATAGGTTGGTTATCTGTACCTGACAAATGCAAAACGCTTGGAAGAAGTCACGGGAAAGCTTGGATTCTCAACTGGTTCTTCTACACAGCCGATTTTAGAGGAACAAGTAGCAAGTTAATTGCTGAGTCATGTTGTTTGTGGCGTCTCACTCGAATATGCAACAGTCGAGACAATTTGCATGATCCCGACAAAGTGAATAGATAGGCAGCATGTAACATGCCATAGTTAAGTCATGCATGAAAATGTTCTGAGAAGTTGTGGTGGTATTGTGCACCAAAGATGGAAGGGAAGCTGGGATTTTAAGTGCTGTTCACTCGAACTTCATGTATGTTTAGTTTTAGGGCATTGGATGCTCTTGTAATTCTGGCATTGTATGATTTTGGATATCATCAAAATAATAATACCATTTGATTGTTATTCAAAGGAACTTTACAAAAGCAAATTCATGTTTGCCAGTGCTTCAAGACTGATTTTAATGTTTAACTTGTTTGCAAGCTTAATAATGTAATATTATGTTTGAAACAACCTTGTTTTCATAAGGTAATTCATCAAGGCTATATATTTTCTATCTCATAACAGAGGAAAAAACATGGGATTTTGCAGAACTTTTGCTTTTCAAGATTCACATAATTTGCCATTCTCAAAATTGAAGAAAAGTTACTTTCATGTTCCATGTTCCATGTTCCATGTTCCATCTCAAGTCATAGTAAAGCTAATTATTCTTTGAGTAAATATCTTCCCCCGACAATAATCTTATTTCTTTACTTCTACACTTTGCATCACATTCTTTGCGTAAACATCTTCTCCTGACAATAATCAGTGAAATTCTTTTCTTTAAAAAGCTTTTTACACTTTGCATCACATTCTTTCTTTCTTATTCACTCGTAATTTATAATATCTAATGCTATTTTATAGTAATAATATATATCGGTTTTAGAAAAAACAAACTGTACAGTTTGAGGAATAAAGTAAATAGAATATGCTCAAAGAAAAGAATGAAGGAATTGCTTGATCAACAGTTATACCTTAACTAGTATCAAAGCAATACTTTGGTTAATTTGGATTTATTCCTTGGTCTTTTCCATGCACTATAAATGTTGAATGGAAGTTGCAGCATTATCACAACATAAGCAAACCAAATATTTCGATTTCTAATCAATCTTTGTTTAATCACTTACCATCATTCAATATGGCTGAAGCTCTTGTTTCCATAGCCTTGGAACAGCTGGCTTCATTCATTAATCAACAGGCGAGAGGAGGGATAAGCTTGATTGTGGGTGCTAAGCAAGAAATTGCAAAGCTTCAAAGCAACTTCCTGTCCATTCAAGCTCTGCTTGCTGATGCTGAGAACCGACAGGTGAAGGAGAATGCTGTGAGAATATGGTTAGAGAAGCTCAAAGATGTGTCCTATGACATAGATGATGTCTTGGACGAGTGGAACACGAAGTTTCTGAAATTACAAATTAAAAGAGCTAAAGATGCTTCTAAGCCTTTGAAAAAGGTATGTTCTCTCGTTCTCTTTTATCTCAGTTGTAAGCCATTGGTTATGCGTTGCGAAATTGCTGTCAATATAAAAGATCTCAATAGAAAACTAGATATTATTGTTATGGAGAGAGAGAGGTTTCAGTTTAGAACAATCGTCGAGGGTAGCAAAGAAGAAGAACGACCAATGACAACCTCTTTTTTTGATTTAAAAGAGGTTCATGGAAGAGATAATGATAAGAATTCACTAGTCGATTTGCTTTTGAGTCAAAGTAGTCAACAACAAGTCCTTCCCATAATCTCTATAATAGGGATGGGAGGAATCGGCAAGACAACTCTTGCTCGATTAGTTTTTAATGATGATAAGGTGAACACCCATTTTGATAAAAAAATATGGGTGTGTGTTTCTGAGCCTTTTGATGAGCTTAGGATTGCAAAAGCAATCCTTGAATCTTTTGATAAGAAATCAAACTTAGGTGAACTAGAAAGCATAATGCAAGAGATTCATCAACATATCAAGAGAAATAAGTTTCTTCTTGTATTAGATGATGTATGGACTGACAATCCTGATAATTGGGAAAATTTGAAACGTACTCTAAAATGTGGATCTTTAGAAAGTAGAATTTTGGTGACCACACGTAATGAGAATGTTGCAAATGCCATTGGAACCACCAACACAATCTTACTAGGAATACTTCCTGACGAGGAATGTTGGTCATTGTTTTGTCAACTTGCATTTTCTGGAAAAATCCATAAAGAGTTTGAAGATATTGGTAAAAAGATTATTCAAAAGTGTAACGGCTTGCCTCTTGCTGTAAAGACTTTAGGTAGTCTTTTGCGCTTCAAAAGAAAATTTGAAGAGTGGGAAAATATCTCAAATAGTAAAATATGGGAATTGAAAGAGGTGGAACAAAGGATTTTTCCACCTCTATTGTTTAGCTATTATGATTTGTCCTCTATATTGAAGAAGTGTTTCTCATATTGTGCTATTTTTCCAAAGGATTATGTAATAGAGAAAGATGTATTGATCAAGTTATGGATGGCACAAGGTTATTTAAAGTCAAAAGACTCAAAAAAGGATATGGAGTTAGTTGGTGAAGAGTATTTCAAATCTTTGGCAATGCGTTCTTTCTTTCAAGATTTTCAAAAAGATGATGATGATATTGATATAAATTCTTGTAAGATGCATGATATAGTACATGATTTTGCTCAATTTCTTACCCAAAATGAATGTTATACAATAGAGGTTGATGGTAGAGGAGAAATTGAATTAGAATCTTCTTATGTTAAAGTTAGACATTCAATGATAAAGATTCAAAGAGGAGCCTCATTTCCTAGCTCTATTTATACTAGAAATACTTTTCTACGTAGTCTTGTGGTTGATTGTAATTACGATCCTGACCTTAAGATAGTTTTGTCCAAATTAATTGATCAGTTTAACATTGTCTAAGGTTCATTATCCTTTGAAGACTGCTCAATTAAAGAAATTCCTGTAGAAATAAAAAAATTTAAAACACTTGAAGGTACTTGATTGTCTGCAAATTATGACATAGAAGAGATTGCTTTACCGAGGAAGGAATTGTGTAGGTTAATTAATTACAAACCTTGACATCACTTTTTGTCGGAGAGTCTCACAAAACTACCACAAGGATGGAAACATTAATCAACTGAGACATTTGTTAAATTGGGGGACTGAATAGTATAAGTTACATGCCAAAGTGGGGGAGAAATTAACTACGTAGTCTGCGAACAATAAGAAGATGTGTTATAAGTGAGGGCAGTTATGGTAGTGAAGCATGGTCTTTGAGGTCTAAAAAAATTCCATCCCTTCACGAGAATTTCGTATAGAAGGGTTGGGAAATTTGAGAGATGTGGAGGTAAGGAATAGAATTAAACAACTAAGAAAAATTGCGTATTTGAGGGTGGGCTTTAAGGGTGAGGATGAAGTGGAGCAAAAATCAAGAACTCTCGAGGAGTTGCAACACAATGAATCCAAATTTGGAGATTACTAAAGCTACGAAAATTATAAGAGGCAACACTATTTTTCCTAATTGGATGTGTCATTGACCATTGAGAAAGTTAAATCTTTATGTTGGATAAATTGTGAGACATCTGACTCCTTTGGTAAGTTGTCATCCCTTGACAACTTCTTGTGATAGATGGAATGAAGTGTGAAAAGAGTGGGTAATGAGTGTTTGGGAATAGAGAGTGATGCCAAATCATCCTCTCATCAATCTATGTGTTTCCCAAACTGAAATTTCTACGTTATGAGAGATGCAAGAAGGGAGAGTGGAATTACGAGATTACAAAGAGAGGAGAGGGAAAATATTACAATCATGCCAGCTATTCAGAACTTGATAGTTCCTCATGCCCCCAAATTGAAGTCTTACAAAACACCTTCATAAATGACAATGTTGAAGAAGGAAATTAGTATGGTCCTCTTCTCTTAAGAATAGAGACCAATAACTGATGTATCTTGTCTATCCTAATGATTAAAGTTTCTCTAGACTTATCACTTCGAATATGTTTCTCCAAACCAAAGGTAATTCCTTCTTATAGTAAACAGTTTTGTCTTATGGGGAACTAATTTGCATCTTTAATATTTAATACTCTAATATCAATCAACCTTTTGGTAATTCTTTAATGTTTTCCTTTAATGAACAATTATACTCTTAATATAATCTTGTAATTTAAGGATGGGTTCGGCATTGATAGTATTTATGTTTTTCATTTTGTCTACTCAAAATAATAGGATTTGAACAATCAGGTTTCTCTTAGAGTGAAGAGAAAACTTGAGTGGATTGATAGCGCATCATATCTCCTCTAGTTTTGACCCAACATCTCTCTAAGTCTTAAACTTCAACTTTGAATCTGCAAAGGGACAACCTTTGAATTCCTCAAAGTGCTACAATGGTGATCAATCCACAAGTAAGTTTATTCTCTCCTTACCGGCTAGCTTCATTTTATGATGAATAACTTTCGGGGAGAGTTCTTACTGTTAATATTTTTTTTATACCTTTTAAATAACTAATAAATGACAAAATAAAGTAAAAAGTTACTCAATAATCGATTTTAACATCCTCTGCACTACTGTTGGATTTTAAACTTCATACTGGTTTATGTCTTTAATGGTTTTGCATTCCTGATTTTTGGACATTTAAATTATCCTTTCAATTATTAATTTTATCATGTTCTATTGTACAGGGGAAAGATATTAGTTCTTCAGCAGAGTACCGTTCTCGGGCATACAGAAGAGGATTTCAAGAGATGATGGTACTGTAAATTAGTTCCTATTTATGGTTCTTTGAATAGTGTAATGTTTTTCAGCACAATTTCCCTTAATACTTTCCATATTATGCAAATGACTCGTCCAATCAGCATCTTCATCTGTTGATGCTGTTTTCACTTCATTCATCAGTTTAAAGTATTCTCAATCAGCCAATTCCAATGCGTTTTCATCTGAAATAATAAATGTATGTGCAGTTTAAACACTCAGTTTTGTTTTCAATAAGTCGTTGTGCTTCAACGATTTAACTCGTCCATTTTGTCAAAATACAGAAACCACGTTTGCATCTACTAAGGTTCCCGCTCAGGTTGATTGAGGTAGGACGAGTGTGTCGTATTTCAAGTCATCACAACTCTCGTTGTCTTCAAAAACTGGTGATCTAGGAGACATTTCCAGGAATCTGGATGTCACGTTTATAAGAAATTAATCATCCCTGTGTGACAATGCGAAAAATGGAATAGGAGGTATTATGTACCACCTCCTTTCTGGTGTTTCATTCATCATCCTCAGTTGAGTAATTCTTTCGTTGCTTATGTAAAGTAGTAACAGATTTTTCCATTAATATCTTAACTGGTTAGTTGTGACTGATTTTTAATTTTGTTGAGACTCATTGTCATCCAGTAAATTTGATTTTCAGAGTGGAAAATCTGTTGTTATTGTGTCCCAAAGGATAAAAGATTCCGATAATTTGATCAATTGGTTACGAAACGAATTAAAAAGCTTGAAGTTTTTGTTAATGTACTACGTGTAGTTGGGGATATCGGTTATGTAAATTAAATATTCTGTTTTTTTGAGTGGGTAACTTGGATTGATTGGATTGTGGTGTGGCTGCCAAGCCCCCAAACATCTTGTTGCGTATACAATGGCTTCACAGCAATATTGGTGATTATTGTTACAAGGTGTGTTATTTGGTTCCTTTTTCTTGAATGAAAAATCATCGATGTTGAATAATAAGAATTTTGAGGAAATGCTCGTTCTCGTTCAAAATGAGTGTCCAGTAGGGATCACGAGAGATCTCATTCTGTGCCCCTCTTCAAAAGGGTTTGAATTCTATGGTTTGTCGTTTTGGTTAATTAAATTACAATAACTAGCATAACTTATGGTAAATTGAGCTTGCTGTTAGAACCCTATATTGAATCCATCAATGTGGTCTTAGATAGATGCATGGGTTGATTGCCGTTCTTTAAAAGCAGGCTGTCTTTGTCATCACGGTTTGGGAGAGCCTTTTACTTTGACTTGAAACCTACGCGGTAGATAGCATGTTGTCGTTACTCTTGCTACTAACGATAGGTCCCTTTTTTGCCGTACATTGGGACTTTGATCAATAACTTACGTTCAAGTGTTTACTCAAACGTGGAATACTATGCTTGCGAGGCGCTTTTGGTTTCCCTCCCCGAGTTTGAAGAATATAATGATTCATAATGCAGTAGTACTGCTGTGAAGCAACAAGTTGATTTCCATTTTTATGTTTATTTGATTGCATGAATGATATTGTGGCTTTATAAGTTACTGCTTATTATAGTTATAATTTTGTGATTATGCTTTCCATTGGTCAGTTGAATATTCTTTGCTGTACGAATCTTCCGTCCCAAGAGTTCAATGTTTATTATCAAGTGCGTTAGTTTTGAGCTTCATTAGCAATTCGTATAATAGTTTCTGTTTCCCTGGTTATTCTTGTCTGGATTACACAAAATTGTGAAAATAAACACTGACTAAAGAAAATTTGTTAATTGTGTTTGGTGAAAAATGTACATTTGTATTTGCCACATTATCAGGATCCTTGCGCCAGAAACTTCTTGATGATAAGTACTTATCAGCGGAAGAAAGGAGGTATGTGATGCTCTTCATAGGCTTTTTTTCTACTAATTTTGTATAGTTGGGACTTTCATGTCTCATAATCTTGAGAAGTGAAGATATGGTACAAATTGACAATCCTTTGATGCCTTCCTCCCTCAATCTGGAGGTTATAAAAATCACTTACATAGAGTTTTTCTTACCATATGATGTTCGATCTAGATTTTTAAGAGCAAAACATAGGGAGATGATCTTCAACATTTATTCATCTACGCAGGGACCATCTTGAAAAAAATTTCTGTGAGCACTTTTATTTCTTGTGGATCCAGAAGTTTTTGGCTCATGATGATGCACATACTAACATTCCACTTTTACTCCTTCTAATTATCTGAGTGCTTGACATGACCTTTTAATGATAATACTTTTTTGTTATGTGTCGTTATTGACACATATTTCATTTAAGTATGTAGAATTAACCAGTCCGTTCAGCATAAAAAGCAGAGTGGACATTCAGGAAACGAGAGGATCTTATTCAATTCGTGTCAACTTTGTCAAATGAGAGAACTCGCTAAAACTCCCAATTGAGGTCACTTTTTTTTTACACTAATGATTCTTACTTTCTGCTGCTCATTGCATCTCTTTTTAATGGGGAAAAGTTATCTTCGAAACCTTGATTAAAGTGTTTGCTCGAATATTACACTGATATTCATCTTGTTCAGAGGTTTGGCATTTGACTCAGTAGGATTATATTTACACGCAGGGATGTTCTTCACTCGGGAAAGAATATCCAACTATTCTAAAGCCACCAACAAAAAGAGAGCGTGTACATAGTTTCACAATAGAGCCATCTTCCAGAAAGCTACGGTTAGTACCCTTTTACCTTGTTGTTTTTTTTCTTGCTATAGTGGGTACATTAGGATGCATTAGTGGCAGCGATTGCTATTTAGCTTCGTGTTGTGGAATTCCAAAAATCAACAGTTTTTTTAATTTGATTATAAGCATTTTTATAATATTCTAAGTAGCATCATAACATGGGCTTTTTTGCTGATTAGGAGTCAGATCAGGGTTGTTTGAGGCCGGAACCTAAGCTACAGCAAGAATGGTGCCATTAATGATTCAACCAAAATAGCTTTTCTCCAAGAGAGAAATTGAAGTTCGAAATTGCTTTTAGAGATTTGACTAATTTAAAAATATGCATATGAACTAGCAGCACTTACAAAATGTTTTTGTATTTATTAGATAAAAGCCAAAATTATTTAGTTTTTTTTACTTATATTGTTAAACAGACCATAAGTTATAAAAACAAAAATTGAATATCTATGATTGTAAAAAACTAAAAATCATTTAAATAAGAAGTAATTAAACGACAT